ATTTTAAAATTTTAAAGTAAAATAAAAATTTTATCTAAAAGACAAGAGGTATAATTAAATTAATAAGAATATTTCTAATAGAAAAAAAAAATTCTGCCCAATTAAAAATAAAAATAATCTTTGTAAAAAATTATTTGACTCAAAATTTTTTTACAAGTAAATTCCGCTTTAATAATTGATTATAAAAATTTTAAGATAACCAGCTGTTCATATTATCCAAAAAAAAGTTATTGAAAGTCGAAATAAAATTGCTCTCATTAAAATATGAGTAATTATGATCATAAATCAACAAATGTCACCTAATTATTTCCGTCACTTAACCCCACTACTATTCTAGCCTACCTCAACTCATAAAAATGTACTCTTCCCCCAGGCGCTTTTCCATATACCCTTAATATAATCAAAGTCTAAATTTCCATGCGAGAAAAACTTTCTCCGTCGCCATCTAGCGGAACTTTTTCAAACTAAATTTAAATGATCTGCAAAAAAAAAACTTAAAAAGAAGATACAAGCAACAATACTTATCACAAAGTAAAAATGTGTGTCATAACGATGAAATTATATTTCCGGATGAAAACTAAATTCGTGACGTTGCCCGCATGGTCGACCGCATTTGCGCGAGTCGATTGCCATGCGACATTATTGTGATCGATACGGAAACGCCCCGGAGCCCGCCGTCTACTATACAGTACACAGTTGTCGTTATTACGTGCTTAGAGACTAAGACTACTCTTGTCAACATTCATGTCTTTTTAAATATCTACCACTACAAATAAATAATGTTAATGTAATATCCCTCATACTTTTAACTTATAACTATCACTTACACTTACATTAATAAAGAAAGTGTTCCACAAATGATATGTATTGTATATGACATATTATATACGTATATAGACAGAAAAAAAATATTTCCAGCTATTGAAGAAAATCCCGTAGCCTGTAGCCCGAAGAAATAACTAGCGCTAATTTACTTTACCTCGATTAGATAGTCTCTACTTTTATTTACTTGTAATAAGTTGAGTCCAGGCTAGACAACAACTACAACTCCAGTCTACTATAGTGCATTACAGCAAAAAATATCCTTTAACGCGTGGACTTTAACGTCAAAATTATAAATAATTACTTGCAAAAGACATTACTTTACAATTGGTAATAAAATTGTGATAGACAAGTTACAATAATAACTACATTATCATGATTTATGTGTTTAGTCATTTAATTGATTTATACTACTAAATTAAATTAAGCCTACGCACGCGTTAACAGTATTTTGCACGGTTAATTAATACGTTTTTGTTTCTTTTTTATTTTAAACGACTTTGCGGACACTCAAATATATCTATATATATATAGTTATTATTCTTATACTTTTATTATTATAGAGTAAAAAAGTGAATCGTCATTGAGAGTTAATAACTTGTACATAATGTATTAACTAAAAATATTGTCTTACGATCCATGTCAACATAATTATGTTACCGGCTGTTAGGTATAGATATGATGATATGGCAAGTGGTCATTTAAGCGCCTTTGGTGGCATAAATAATCCCATTAAACGTATCACTGAGTCAATCCGACAGCTAACAAGTCGCTAAATTAAAATATAAAGAGAATGCACTAAGAGTTTTAACACACATGTAAGAGTTAGCGGACGATGCAGGTGAATTTTATGCAATCCTAGTAATTAGATACACATTTTTTATTTATTTATTCTTTGAATTCAGTTGAAGAATTTTATGTATACGGGTTTGGTAATAAATCGACCGGTAGATTTTAGTAATTATTCATTTCGAATTCATTTCCTGATGCATATTGATTGTCGCGGTTATTACAGATGACGGGCATTATTTTTAAATGTTTTTAATCGCTTGGAACATTACTTGACGCAGAGCATTAAAGATTCAATTGATTAAATGAAATTTCAGAGGACATTTGTCATTTCTCTTTGCTTAATCCTGATTTTTTTTATTATTATTATTGATAACTTTCATTTAAATTCAATTGGTCGATTTTTCACTTTGTAAAAATATAACTTGAATAATTGTGTTTTTATTTAATTAAGCGGATCAATTATAATTCAATAAAGATTCATCTGAGAAATTTATTTGTGAGTTAATTAGATAATATCTTTTAAAATTTCAGATGACAATTACACAGCATTTAAAAATAATGCACGTGTAAGAAATGAAATAATAAATAAACTACTCACACTAGATACTTGATCGACGGTATCGATACATAAATTAATACCATAAGTATAGTACATATATGAGTGGATATGAGTTGTTTATTTATTATCGATCGCGGTTAGTGGCGCGCGACACTTGATACATCAATACCCTGCACGTGTTTACGTCCAGCCAATTGCACGTTTATCGTTTTATCGTCATTACTGGTTACGTACCCCACACTATGTATATACGCACGTACTATGAGCAAAAAAGTTTAACGCATCATTAATATTGATAGCATAAAAGTTAACTTATCATTCATCATGCAAATCATATCTGAGACGTGATAATATTTATCAACTATTAACTATCACTTGCCGCCTATCCGATAATAAACATTGATACAAAATGTATACATAGAAAAAGAATTGTCCATTTTTATCGCAAATAAATTATTTAATATTTAAAATTTTCTTGATTCTTTTTTTTTCTTTAATATTTTATCATAATATATCTTTTAAAATAAATTATAAGTGAATAATTGTGATTCTGAATTTAACAAACATATAACAATTTTTTAGATTTTTATAACAATTAAATTATAATTAAAAAAAATTTCACATGTAGACATTTAAAAAAATTATAAGTATGAATTTTTAAAAATATTTTTTTTTATAATCATTGATTTGTTATGAAAATTTCAAGAATTTTCAGATGTATGCTAATTTTAGTGTTATGAAAAATTAATAAAATATTTTTTTAGTTAATTTATTCGGTAAAAAAGCCAAATTTTGCAATAGAAAAAATAATTAATTTTTTTATGAAAATTAAGTTAACCGACATCTAAAAATTAAAAAAATTTTTTTTTTATTGAAACAATTTTTACGAAAAAATAAAAAAGAATTTTCATTTGTCCAAAACTTGAAAAACTATAAGTGCAATTTTTTAAAAATATTTTTTAATTTTAATTTAATAAATTAAAAAAAATCAAAAAGTCAAAAACGTCGGCTACCTTTAGGATTACAATTTTTTGTAATAGCAAAAATAGTCAATTTTTTATAATAAAAAAATTAATTTAAAAACTTACTCAAATTAGGCTTGAAGCAGACGTAGCTCCGTGACCTGTCAAACTAATTAACCAGCTTGACACTCGAATCCTCGTCAACGTACACTCCTATCACAGTATTGCTTCACTTATGAGTGCGTATGATAAAATAAACTTGAGTTTATCACAGCAATAGGACCACGTTCGAGGCACTTTATTATATTTTCACGGACATTTAAAACCACAATTATTAGCACGTATATATATTACTTATTACTTAAATAATTTAACACCAAAGTTTAATTCCACAATAAAAATTGTCTTTACAGAGTGACACACGCGGATTTTAAAAATGTCTTCAGTCACGTTTAACGTAATCGGAGCAATAATTGTCATTGAATAAAATGCTTGAATGAATAATAATAATTATTATTATTATTATTATTATTATTATTATTATTAGTATTATTATTATTATATCGACAGTAACAATACTACTAATTATCAATAAAAAATAATAAAAAACAAAAAGAAATAAGGCTTTGTCATAGAACTTTTGCAATAGTCCGATAATCGATAGTTCTTTTGCATTTTATCATCAGTAATTCAATCTCTGGATTTTTAAAATACATTACCGATAAATATTATCAATTCAATGACCGAAAGTTGAAGTGAGATTCGGATTGTCTCGCGCGGTAAATACATTTCCGGATTAGCAAAGCTGCGGGCGCGATAAGCCGGGCTAAAAATATACAGACAGACTGGCTAAAAAATTACTGCGGGGTTTTGTCAAGAGAGTGAGAGTGAGAGAATGATAAAATAACGTGTAACGTATTTGAATAAACAGAGAGAGAAAATAAAAAGATGACAAGTGAATGAGTGAGTAGAGAGCGATCGATGAACTCTCAACAGCCCGATGAAATTCTTCACTTGATAAATTCAGAGGTCACTCACTCGCGATCACGTGCGACGCAGACGACGCGAATTGATTACGCTTAATTGTCATATGTGTCGGCAGATCATTTTCATAACTGCAATTAAAATTTAATTATTAATATATCAATAACAATAAACTTTACACTTATAATTATAATTTTTTAATTACCAACAAGAGTGTTTTGTAATTTAATTATTGAGTTTAAATCTCCGTAAGCACTCACAATGTCATCAACTCTGCCCATAAAGTTTGTCTCTATTTAAATGTCCAGTAATTAACAATTAGCAATTGGAGTTGCTGTACCCCGTCTATTTTATCTATTTATCTATTTATAGAATTGAAAATTGGTATATGACCTAGTAGACACTCTAAATGCTCTCACGTGGTAAACTGACAGTGTGTGTTTGGTGTCAGACAAATTGGAGCAGCGCTTGCAGAATAAGCTAAGGTTGACTAGCGATCAGCTGATCGCCACGCGGTCCTATGCCAACCGGTGGACGGTTCGCGCTCCAGGGTGCCAAATTAAAAGGACCATTATGTAACGACGGTGTTAAAACGATCACAATTATTTTAAAATATTTACAATTTTTAATTATAATTATTTAATTAATTTTATCTTATCAATATTATTAAGATTAAGCCCACGTTAATTAATTCTCACTCTTGACAATCAAATCACAAGACACGCGTGTCAGTAGCAGTAACAATGCTCACGTAATATAATGTAAATCCTCCGAATTATTCATTTCAGGTAATGACAATTACCTGATTTGTTTTTAATTGAAATTTAAAAAAAAAAAAATTGACACCCTTTTCTATTTAAACAAAACTGTTCTTGGTGACACTAGTAACTAACTATAACTAAAAAAAAAAATAATAATTAAAATATAAATGACAACGACGAGCAGGTTGGAGTGTTTATAAGCGTACTGGGAATGTTTTTAAATAGAAAGGACATATGCACCTTCCGCTCGTGTCGGCAGCCGGGCGTACACTGGCTTGCTGAACACCGAGTTGTAACAGCCACGGGTTCTTTCCTCGCGATACTATACGAGTAGAACCACCACTCAAGCTACTCCACTCGTAGCCCCGTACACTACGAGTATCGAGCTCGTGATACAAGCGCAGCCCACACGATTGAGCTTATCCGCCTCTCCCAGTCCTACACTTAGAGTCGGCAAGCTGTTTAGTTGTTCTATCTCCTAACTCCTAACTTTAATTACTCCACATTACAGTCAGTGTTGTATTGTTGATACACAACAATATGCTTCTTATCTTTGCTTTGAGCGGCTACTGTCGGATATATTTCCCGCGCTTTTTTTTGCCCGAAAATATTTATGAAAATAAAGTTAGCTGACATTTCAAAATTTTTTATTGAAAAAATTTCAATTAGACAATTAAAAAAAAAATTTCACGTATAAAAAACTTAAAAAACTATAAGTGCAATTTTTTAGAAATATCTTTTTAATTTAAATTTAATTAATAAAAAAAATCAAAAATATTTAGATGTCTGCAGACTTTAGTGTCATAAATATTTATGACACTGAAGTTAGCCGACGTTTTTGATTTTTTTTAATTATTAAATTAGAACTAAATAATATTTTTTAAAAATTGCACTTATAGTTTTTCAAGTTTTTAACAAATGAAATTTTTTTTTTTTTATTATTTTGCAATAATTTTTTTAATAAAAAAAACTTCACAAAATTTTTAAATGTCGGCTAACTTAATTTTCATTAAATATTTCATTTAAATTAAGAGATACAAAAATTTTTAATAATTTTGATAATAAATTACATAAATAGCATTAATTAATAATACTAAAGTTAGCCGACGTTTTTGATTTTTTTATTATTTTTTATTTATTAAATTAGAACTAAAAAATATTTTTTAAAAATTGCACATTCAAATTTTTTACAAATGAAATTTTTCTTTATTTATTTATAATAATTTTTCAATTAAAAAAAATTCTAAAAATTTTAAGATGGCTAACTTAATTTTCATCATTAATTATTAATTTTTTTCATCTAATTTATCTGAATAGTTTAATTAATAAAACATTAATTAAAAAAAAAAATGGACAAATATTTTTAATTATTATAATTTAACTCTCAAAAAAATAATTAATAATATATCATTAATCATTACCTAAAAGTTTCATCGGGAAAAAAAAATTTTTTGAAATTTTATCTTGCAAAATTTCACGGCCGCCATTTTATTTTGTCGCTTATAAACAGTAACAATTATTAAAAAATAATTTATTATTGTTTTAAGGTAAAAAAAGATTAAAAATATTAAAAAATTGCAAAAGTATGACAAAGCGATAAAAAATGATAGTATTATATTCATTAATTAATAATTACTCAGTTCTCGGTAAGCATTTTATTCCTTACCATTGTTATCATTGTGATGGACGGATTGACTTAATAAATTGAAATAGTAATTGATATTTATATTAATATTGATATTGATAATAATAAATGAGTTGAGGGAGAATTGTCTGAGTTAACTGCATCAGGCCGGTGTCCGTTACTCACTGACACTGAGCGGGAGTCGCGGGAAGTTGGTACTAGCATTGCCACCTAGTGGCAGGCGGGGAAACTACTTAGCGGGAAAATTTGAAAATTTTAAGTCGGTAAGATAGAGTTGGTCAAGATAAAAGATGATATTAAAAATCGACATTTTATAATTTTTACGATTTTTTTTAAATGTAAAATATGACATTCAAAGTTTGAAAAAAAAATTTACTTAATTAGATATTATTAATTATTTTTTATATTTGTAATTAAAAAAAAAAATGATAATTAATAATGATCATTTTTATTTTAAAAATTATTAATTTTTTTTTTAAATGTAAAATATGACATTCAAAGTTTAGAAAAAAAAATTTAATTAATTAGATATTATATATTATTAATTATTTTTTGTTTGTAATTAACAAAAAAATGATAATTAATAATAATCATTTTTATTTTAGAAATTATTAACTACGAATTTTATCATCGACATAAAAAAATTTTTTTATAAAAAGCAAATTTACAAAAATTTCAATACCCGCCATTGTGTTTTGTCATTTGTCAATTACAATAATCATTGACAATATTCATGATTGTTTTAAAATAAAAAAACTATTCGAAAAAATTACGAAGTTAATAAAAATAAAATGAAAAAATAAAGAATAATAGTGACAGCTAGAAAAAATTTAATTAATTATACTTATTAATTACTCAATAATCAGCAAGCATTTTATTCCTTACCATTTTTCTTATTATATTAGCTTGACTGATTTAATAAGTTTGATGAAATAGTGATTAATAATTATTTTAGTTTTTATATTAATTAAAAATAAATAAATTGAGGAAGAATTGTCGAAGTGAATTGCATTGAACCGGTGTGCGTTACTCACCGACACTGATCTGGATACTAGGAAGACTTTTTGGAACTTGGTACTGACATCGCCATCTAGTGGCGAGTGAGCGAACTATTTAGCGGGAATTTTTGAAAATGTTAAATCAGTAAGCTAGATGTTTTGTTTAATTTAAATTGACAATTATAAGTTTCTGATTTCTTGTTAAATAAAATCTCCCAGAGAGTCAACAATTTTTTTTATAACGCTTGGGAGTTGGTTAGTATAAAAGACAGTAACACTGAAGTAAACAGATAAAAATTAATTCAGCATATATTTAATAATTTTATAACAAATAAATTATGGCAAAAAAAAAAATTAGAAAAAAAAAATTGACATGCAGAAATTTAAAAAAATTAAAAATGCAATTTCTTGTTAAATAAAATTAAAAAATTCTCAAGTAACAGCTAACTTTAAATGTCATAGTAAATAATAGACATCTTAGCGCTTTTTAATATTTTTTAATAAATAAATTACAATTTTTTTTAAAATAATAATAATTTATTCTAATAAAAAATTCTAAAAATTATAAGATATCTGTATTTCAGTAAATAAAATATAATAAATTTTAATAATAATTTATTATTCAATATGATTTTACACAGCTATTGTGATAATAGACAGATGTGTAGGTAGTTAATTGTAGATGAATAATTACAATAGTTATTGTTTTTATAAATAAATCTAATTAATTGACTAATATTGAATACAGCGTCCATAATAGCCAGAACATGAATAAGTATAGTACTGTTATTACTGTGTAATGAGCGAATTTTAACCTGAAATATAAGAAATAAAAAGCATTAATATAATGAAAAAAATATAGAGAAAATTTTAATTTGTCTAGCACTAAACACATACATTTTATATCTTCTTACACTGACATCTAAGTTAGTAATTGGGTCATTCATTAAGAATGTCCTAATTCCGTAAAAACTAGTTTGACAATAATCTTTCCAATTGAATTCGTTAACATTGAAGTAAAATATTTTACGATCTACTGGATTTAATTTGTTCCACAATCTTACAACATTGTTATTGCGGAACTTCCATTGCTGAGTACAAAAGTACGATATCACCGAGCTGAATTTATGAATTTTTTTGTACGCAGTTAGTAGCCTAGATAAAAAAGAAGAAAGAAGTTTATGTGATTAAACAGGAAAATAAAATGAGGGATTAATTGAAGAAGAAAAAATAACTGTGTCTGTACATCGGTTTACGTCCTATTATCCTTAATATAGTGTCAATAACCAGAGCCGGAAATAAGTGAAGTACAAAGACATACAGGTTGTGCATGAAGAGATTACTGTTGAGGGTGAAGAAATAATACCACAAAGCTGTTGAAGGCGGGGCCATTTTGCCATGATCTTCAGTAAGTTTCATGAAAGTACCCCAACATATCGGATTTTGTACTGAAGATACACAATTGAATATGAGCGGTCTGTCAGCATTTTCTTCATCGTTGTAGTTATCCGTTGTACCACTTGGCAAAGCTCTCGAGGGCCTTAGGTTACTAATTATTTCACATATTATCACAGATTATATTAGTTCATTGAATTACAGTTCTATAAATAACTTTAAGAACAAAAATTTAATTTACTTTATATTAATATTAATGATTTTGAAGTCAGCTGACAACTGTCAATTTCTTTAATTTTTTTGACAAATTAATTTTAGTAAAAAAAAAAATGCTTTAAAAAATTTCCACTAGTGGTTTTTTTTTAATTTTCAAATGTAAAATTTTTTTTTTGTAATAATTTAATTTTTATAAAATTGTAAAATAATTTCTAATGTCAGTTAACTTTAGTGTCATTTAATATTAAAATGAGAAGTACTATTTTAATTAATAAATTAAAAAAAATTTTAACTTTCAAAAAATTACTAGTGAGTTATAAAATAAAGACACTATTAATTATTCCTGAAATAAATAATAAAAACTAGCAACCTTGCAGTCACTATGTGACTGCTGTGACTTGTGAACTATAAATAAATAAAATTTTGCTTTATTAAATAATGACTTTTGTTAAATTGCACTGCACTTTCTTAAATGTTGATGTTTTTAAAGATATAAGCTCATCCAGGTGTTACACTCATCAAGAGCTTTCATTTGAGTACTCACATGCATTTTAGATATATTTTTCATATATACATATATGTAATATATATAAATATATAAAATATATGAAAAATTGATGTGGGTACTTAAATGAAAGGTCTCAATGAGTGTAATGTGAAGATGAGCTTATATCTTTCAAAATATCATTAGATGACAAGATTCAATGTCATTTCTTTAATATTGACATATTTTAGATATATTTTTCATATATACACACATGTAATATATATAAATATATAAAATGTATGAAAAATTGATAAGATTTTACAAGATACAAGATTTTTCTTATTCTCTTAATAATATAGATTATCAATAAAATATATAAAAAATTTACTTCGTTGTTCCACAATCCCACGCAGCTGCAATAATATTGTTGATAACGTAATCTGCCGGAATCATGTCACCTATTTTTTCAGGGTAACAATGTAATGTACGCAGTAATCCTATACCAGCACCAACGAGGACTCCAGTGGGCCCGTAGAGATTATTAATCCATCCTTGAACTGGCTCTTTCTCTGTGGCAATCATTATCGAGGGTCGAACAATACAAACAGGTAATCCTGTGCCGTATCTGAGAACCGCATCTTCCGCTACTGTTTTTGTGAATGCGTAAGTATTTGGCCAGTCACCTATAATCCTGTAATCATTAAAATAAACAGTCAGTTTATATTCTTAGTTATAAAGAATTTTCTAACAAAAATATTTTTAAAAAAAATTAATACTTTGGCGTTACATATTCCAGAGCTTCATCATCGAGGATATCTACCAATGTCAACAGTTTTTCACTATTCAAAGGACTTTCGTAAAATATTTCATCGATAAATTTGTTAATACATTGCGAGTATGCCGTTCCAATGTGAACAATTGCCTGGATACCATTATTGATGTCAATTATTTAGATATTCATCAATTAGCAAGTGAAGAAATGAAGCTGATAATAGTTACCTTGAGATTGGGCATTTCTCTGGCGAAAATCAAAATTTCTTTTGTTCCTCTGACATTAATATTGACTGCGAATCTCAGTTTGTCGTCGAATCGGACAGTTGCAGCCCCGTGAAATACGACATTGGAACTTTTTAGAATTTCTCGATTTTCTGGTGATATTACTAGACCAGTGTCATCAAGTCCGCCCTCAATCATCACAACTTTTCCAGCAAAATCTGGTTTTTCTACTTTTAATCTGTCGTACAGCTAAAAATAACATAAATAGTTAATATAATCAATCTATCTTCTATATAAATCAAAATTAAATCCTGTTTGTTGGTAAGAATCCATTGGACTAATTTAAAAGCTCGTGATAATCTAAATTAAGTTTTTATGCTTGAAAAAATTGTCTGAAAAATTAGTAAATTCAAAAAAATTTTTTTTTTCATGAGATTCTTGTATCAATTCTCGATCATTGATCATTAAAAAAATTTGTATAGTGTGATTCTTTATTTCTTTCGTTTTTTATAATATCTTAAAAACTTTATCGAGAAAAAAAGTCTATCCAATTCAATAACGAGATGAAAAATTAACATTTTCAAATTTTCTGCTTGTTTATATGGCGCATTTATGATAAAAAAATGTCGTGAAAAAAAAATAAAGATTTCGATAGCTTTGTTGTCTTTAAAAGTTGGAAAAAATTTTGGCTCTCATGTTTTTGGATAAAATTTTATATATATATATATATATATATTTTTATATAATTTTTTTTTTTTTCAAATTTCATAAAAAAACAATAAAAAGAATTTAAAAAAAAATGTTGAATATCACAATTTCCTAAAAAATTTATAAATTTTTTTGAAAATTTGTTAAAATTATGATAATCAACTTTTTTTTTTTTAAATTGTTCATTTTTTTATGTATTTAAAAAAAAATACATCAATAAAATCAAAAATTAAAATTAAAATGGTTGACCCCACTTGTAAATATTTACCTCCAATTTTAACAGACATAATTTTTGTATTTTTTATCAAAATTAAAAAATAAAAGATTGATAATTTAAAAAAAAAAAAAAATTAAACCCTCAGTAAGAATAAATTTCAACTCAAATAAAAATAAAACAATAATTTTTTAAACTTTTATCTCTTCTTTATATTCAATTTTGTGATTATTAGTTGGCATAAACTCCAGTGCGGTTTTGAACAATCCACTTAAGTAACTGTATTAAAACAAAGTCACTAAAAAATTCTTAAAAATTCGGACAGAACATCTTTTGAGTCAGCTAGTAATTAATAATAACATGATGAAGATATGATAATGTTTATACCTTATCTTCAAAGTGCTCTTTGTAACGCTGCTCCACAGATTTTCCCTTTTTCCCTCTAATAATGAGGTAAACTTTGTTGACATTACATGATCTAAAAACAAGGTGATTATTTATTATTGTTATTAATAAATATTCAAAGGTACAATTGCGAAATACCTCGATTACTTGACAATCGTACAATTGTTTTTTATTTTTCAACTAACGCATGTATATCTAATGTAGCATGTAAATACAGTTTGCTCTATGCAACAGGTGATTTCCGGCGACGGAAAACAAGGCCGCGAACAAGACAAATTCATATCCATAGGCATTAACTATTCCTATGAATAATGCATTTAATTCGACTGCGCGTAAAAATTTTTAAGCTACTTAAAATTAAAATTAATACTTAGTATTATTTTTTGATTAAATATTTTTAGTCAAAAATTGATTAATTCTGCATTAATTTTTATAAAATATCTTATTTTTTTTCTACAGATAAAATAATAATACTCACCGTAATAGTTTTTCAACCAGGAGCTTTCCAACGAACCCCGAACCTCCGGTAACAAGAACATTACATCCTTCAAAAAACTCAGCAATTTCACTTTTTCTCTCAAAATTTGTTTCAGCACTAACTACTTGAGAATTATCACTCGTCGACGTCATTATTCCAAAAATAGTGTAAAAAACAGCCAATTAATTATTCGGTGGTCGCCTTAAAGAAAAGTAAAATTAAAATTTTCCCAAGTATCTTATCTTATAATCAAGGCAATATTATTGTATTGATAATTACAACTGAAAGGAAAGTAATTAATAAATTTATTTATTTATTTATAAGGTAAGCAAAAAATGATAAAAACTAAAACGGTACCGCCAAAAGTACTGGCGGCCGAAGTGTCTTAAACGACGTGCGAGTGAGGACTGTGCCTCGGTATCAATAGTTCTTATTAATTATTCCCATTGCTCAGTACATATAATCCAAAATATTGAAGGTCATAATATCAACTATAAATATTAATACCCTATTTCATATAATTAAAAATTCTCTTTGTTGCAATCAGTATTATTAACTATGTATTTGGTATTTAAATATTTCTCACTGCACATTTGATTACTCGTCAATCTACGATTATAAAAACGTCAAAGGCTCCTTTACTGATAAGCTAATAATTAAAAAAAAAAAAAAAAAAAAACACTAATTTTAAATAAAAAAAAAAAATAGTTATGTTTTAATCTAAGTAGTGAAGAGTTACTCGTTCGGGCGTATAATACACTAAAATATTTGTTATTATAAATAATGATGTAGTTCAACGAAAATTAAATTAGCCATCTAAAAGTTTTTGCAATTTATTTTAATTGAAAAATTATTAAGAAAAAATTTTAAAAACTATAGGTGCAATTTTTTAAAAATATTTTTTTCTAATTTAATCAATAAAAAAAAGTCAAAAATTTTTTCAACGTCGGCTAATTTTAGTATCGTTGCAGTTTAGACGTTGTAAATATATAATTTGAATTTAATGCTACTAGTTTTTTTATGTAAACAGTATACAGGGGTCAATATTGGCTTCACCCCTCGATGACAGAAGCATTTATAACTTGTAATTGTTTCAATACCTCGATTAGATAGTGTAGGTATCGTCGAATCAAATTAAAATTTAACAGTCGCCGCATTTATCTATTATTACTTTTGTAAAACTTTTAAAAATAATTATTCAAAAATAATTATTTATTGGAAAGTAATCTCGCTTATACTTTTTCCTACCTACTGTTAATGTAAAATATCTTTATTTATTTATTTATCAAAAAATTAAATCGCTCGACACCCCAAAAATGATCTCAATTTCTTGTACTTGGTAAACAAATAAATATTAATGGGAATGACTCATATTCCCGCAGAAACTCCCTGGTTAGTGGTTACGCAGGTAGTTCCGTCACACTAATATCTTGCAAATAACTAACAAGCGTTTTGGAATCTAAAACAAAAAATTACAATAAATTTTACAATGTAAGTGGAAGAATTCATACATTAGAAGTGACTCATCGAATTGCCCCGTGACCCGTTTTCTAGAGCTTTCTTTGGTGTTAGTATTAAATATTACAATTAATATCATAAAAAGGTATTAAAGTATTTATTAATTTATATTTTTTTTTTTATCAAGCAAATTGTTAAAGTTTTATTTATATCTGTTAGTTGCCTTTTTTTAATTAGAATAAAATTACAAGTGTCAGTAACTGGGTCTTTTACCTTATTGAGTTTTTAATTTGACACGAAAAATTGTTAATTATTTATTTGTTTGTAAACACATAGGTGCCTGATGTCAATATAAATATGTTAAAATAAATTAAATAAAAAACATAACATCATTTTGGTCTAAAAAATCCTGATTCAAATAAATTAATATAAAAATTTATTTAAAAATTTTACCATTTAATTATTTTTTTTTATTCAAATTAAAGATTGTCTATATACATACAAGCCTCCACGTGTCAATTACTTATACAAATAAAAAAAACAAACAGCCAGACAATTTATTTGTTACCATTTAATTGACGGCATTGATCGAATGATGATAGTGTATTATTTATATATATTGTATAAGTAATTAAAGTCTACCAAGTGAGACTGTTGATTAAACTTTGAAAATAAAATATATTTTTACATATGTATATATTTATATATTTACTTGCATTCTATTTAAATTCATTTCCAACTTTGCATATAATTTAATTAAAGCTTCAAATAATAATGTAAAAAAAAATTAATATTTTCCGAGTATTTTCATTCAATATTAGTCACTTATGACACATGTTTATTTATAAAAACAAAAATCTATTTATATAGAAATAAAATATACTTTTTTTACAATATATCTCATACTCGATATTTTATATTTAACAATCGTAGTCATTAATTTAAGTACTTTTTTAATATTAGTGAAAAATAGCCGTTTGTAAACTACAACGTTTATTAACTCTAAATTTGGAAATCAATTGATAATGTCATTTGTGACATTAACTGAAAATAAAAAATGATATTAATGAAATTAGCAAAATGAAAATTTAACCAAATATAAATTCAATCATTTATAAAATAGCGAAAAACAAAAATCTGTAGCTACATGAATTTAGCTAATTCTTATTGCAGAAACTTATAAAATTAGCCGATTGTAAATTTTGTGAATTAAGGCATCTAAAAGGATTTCCATCAATTTAGTTTTTCTGAAAATTAAAGCAGATTCAACCATCCCATTCAAAAGTAATAAGAAGTTTAAAAACGGTTAATTTTACAATTCACAAAGTTGACAATCGGCTAATTTTATAAGTTTCTGCAATAAGAATTGGCTACATGGAAAAAAGAAAACTCGAAAAATTACAGTATATAATGCAACGTGGCTCTTCGTGATGAAAACTGAAAAAATTACAGTTTCAAATGTAATTATTACAGATTTTATAGAAATTACATTGTAGAATGTAATATTTACATTAAAAGCTCTGAATATTAAATAAAAAAATTGAATTTAGAAAACTGTAATTTTTCTAGTTTTGATTACGACAGGACCGATTTTACATTTTATACTGTAATTTTTCGAGTTTTCTTTTTTCCGTGTAAATTCACGTAGCCACAGATTTTTGTTTTTCGCTATTTTATAAATAACTAAATTAATATTTGGTGAAATTTCCAATTCGCTAATTTCATTAATACAATTTTTTATTTTTAACTAATATTGCAAATGACATTATCAACTAATTTTCTTTAAATTAATAGTTTATAAACGTTCGAGTTTACAAATGGCCATTTTCCAGTAAACTTAAAAACATACTTAAATTAATCACCACGATTGTATATTTATACTGATAATAAATTAATCATCGTGAAGTATACTGAGTGGGTCTTCACTGATAGCTTCAGCGGTTTTTTTTAAATCTCTAGTAACTGATTTTTTAATCGGCTTATCCGCAGACTGAGACAATCCAGCCGCGGGTTTTATTGCAAACAAGTCATCGTCACTCTCGCCTTCGTTTGAAAAAAAAGAGCTGGCTTTGTCTTTGGCGATAGGTTTTTTAGCAAAGAAGATATCCTCTTCACCACTAGACTGACCACCAAAAATATCTTCTAACTTAGTTTTTTTACTACCAGCAGTAACACTAGTAGCAGTAACACTAGTCACCGCTGGAGACTGGTCACCTTTGCTAGAGTCCGACGAAGGTTTTTCACTGGCATCAAAAAACAATTCTTCTTCATTATCTTCATCGTCCTCAAAACCGTCGGCTTGTTTATTATTATTATTATTATTACCCTTAACACTTATTTCAGTGTCAGATAATTCAGATTTGCTCTGATTACTTTTCCTACTAGAGACTGAAGCAAACAAATCTTCAGTCTCATCATCTTCACTGTCAAAATCATTAAACAAACTGCTCTTAACAGCACTAGCTGATTTTTTAACTGGCTTTGTAAAAGGACCAGAGAATAAATCACTAGAGTCATCTTCAAATAAATCCAGCGGTGATTTTTTATTAGACTCACTAATAGAAGCAGAAGCTTCATTTTTAGTGGTACTAAATAGACTGTCGTCTTCATCGAATAACAAACCCTGACCTTTCTCCGGAGACGGAGTTTTAGTTACGAATGCAAACAATTGACTAGGATCTTTTAAAGGATCATGATTGTCATCACGCAGTGGATCGATAGGAGCTGATAAGGATTTATCTTCTTCTTCTTCTTTATGAGATTCTTTTACTTCATTTTTACTCTCGACTTTTGATTTATTAACTGAATAAGAAGAGTGTGATTTATTATCAAAATTAGTTTTAGACCTGCGAGCTTGGACTGGTGAGAGAATCGGCGCTTGGTCAAACAGACTGTCTTCTTTCGGTGGATCTTCGGGTAAGTCAGGCGGCACATCGAATAAATCTTCCTCGTCGGTCGATGGCGACAACAATGTGTTTTTTGTGGTACTTATTGAACCGTCTTTGCTGAGGCTCATTTCCGAACGGTCGTCTGTTGTTAAGTTCAGATAATGTTTATTTTTGACAACTCCCTCGTCACGGCTATCGTCTGCGGCACTTCTTGTCTTAGTTTCCGTGGTTGAACTAGCTAAATTGTTTGAGTCAAATGCTACGGAGCCAGCCGTATCGACTGCATCGAAATCTAGGCCACTTGTTCTGAGTGCCGTTTGACGGGCTTGTCTGCTCTGAGGTCGCCGCTTAACAGGAATTCGAGCACGGTTTTGTAAAATCTATAATTTAAAAGCATTTGTTACAATTGTATTATTTATTACCGGATAAATAGTATATTTAATTTTTTTTTTCTAAACAGTTAACTGCATTTAAATAATAATAAATTTTTATTCTGATAAAATTATATTTAAATTGGACTATTTTTAATTAGTAATTCATTTTATTTTTAATTGAACGGTAATAAATTAAAATTAATATAGGAAAATTACTATTTTATTACCTTAGAACCTTTAATTGTCAAAGGTTCAGCTTGGGCTGGAACGTCAAAGCTCACTGCAGTTTCAGTTTCAATAGAAGGAGACAATGAGACATTTGTAATAATGTTTTCATCTAAAAAAAAGATTTACATTAATATCAATTCGTAATTTATATTATTAAGAGAGTAAGAAAAATTTTGTTTTTAGGATAGTCATATGATAAAATCGGTTTTTTTAGTGAAATTTAGTGTCATTGCAACGGTCTTGACTTTAATTTGTATCTTTTCAAGGTTTCATATCAATCTTACCGATAATCAATTAATTATGATAAGTATTTAGGCTGCATTTGAAAATACTTTATCTCTAGATACTTAATTAAGAAATGATCTTGTATCTTGTGAACTATCAACATTTTTAATGATATAAGCTCATAACGATGTTACACTCATCAAGACCTTTCATTTGAGTACCCACATCAATTTTTCATATATTTTATATATTTATATATATTACATATTTATATATATATAAAAAATATATCAAAATGCATGTGGGTACTCAAATGAAAGCTCTTGATGAGTATATCATTGAGATGAGCTTATATCTTTAAAAAAGTTAATAGCTAAGATAGTTCCGTGAAATTTAACAAATATCTAGTAAACTATTGACATTCATAAAGGTATAAGCTCACCCCGATGATACACTCATCAAGAGCTTTCATTTGAGTACCCATATCAATTTTTCATATATTTTATATATTTATATATATTACATATATGTATATATGAAAAATATATCAAAAATGCATGTGGGTACTCAAATGAAAGCTCTTGATAAGTGTATCATCGGGATGAGCTTAGATCATTAAAAATGTGAATATTTAAGAAAGTACATTGCAATTTAGTGACTGCAAGGTTGCTTGTTTTAATTAATAAAACAAAAAGAAACTTACCAGACAAAATTGTCGGAGATTTAGTACTCGGTACACTGATCGAGCTTCCATCCTCGCTATCACGATCCGGCGTATTATCATTTTCCGAATCAACCTTATTATTATCCCCAGCTGCCTTTCTCCAGGTCAGAGGAGTGTCAGTGGGCGATAGAATTTTAAGATCCCCCATTTTACCCATAAGATTTTTAATTTTCCCCGAAACAGCGCGCCTTGGCGGTGACACTGACTCGTTATCATCATCAGCAGTGACAGTAGGTAGTTTAATTTTCAAACTTTTCGGCGGTGTCCTGATCTTGGTATCATTATCAGTAATCCTCGACATTTTACCACCATCTATTGCAGAAACACTATTTGCCTCAGTATCAGAATAATTATCACCCCGCTCACTACTAATTTGTACACTTGTTATTTTAGTTTCTTTAATATTTACAACACTGTCATTAAAAACAGGAAAGCCTTGTGACCTCACATTTGATTTTCCAAAAAGACTGTCCTCGTCGTCGCTGTCTTCACCCGCATAATCATCAAAAAGCCTGCGGCTCTGTGAATGTAAATTAACATCAACTGACGGGAGTACGTGGTCACTGTTGTTCTGTTTCTCATCTAGTTTGACTTGACTTTTCTTCTCTCCCTCCACAAGCGTCACAGCCTCAGCGGAATCTTTTTTCGGACTCGCCGCCTCTTCTACGGCTTTTACCTCCTCCTCCTCCTCCTCCTCCTCCTTCTCTTTTTCTTCTTCAAGTTTATTTTTTGTTAATGTTGATGTTGACTTTGCGAAAAGATCATCAACATCATCACTCATTTCGCCTCCACTTGGAGTAATACCGCCCCCATAAAACATATCTGAAGGTTTCTTCGCTATTTTAGTATTTGTACTAAACAAATCGTCGTCTTCCTCATCGCTGTCATCAAAAATACTCAAAGTTTTTTTCTCAGACTTGTTCGAGATAAAACTAGGTGATTTTTTATCACCTACTTTAATTTCTTCAGTAGTATTATTATTCACACTGGCCTTATTAGCAAGCAGATCAGATGACACCCTGGTTACCAAAGTATTAGATTTAGACTTTTGTCTCGCGAAAATGTCAATGTCCGAATCGTCTGCGCTGCCAAAGATATCTTCAATCTTATCATTATCGTCGTCAAACAAACTGTGCTTCAGCTTTGTCTGATTAATTTTTGACTTAGCTTCTTGAGCAAGTTTATGCGGTAAATTATTATTACTGTGAGTTAGTACATCTGCGCTCTTTTGCGAACGCGAGCCAGAACTTGTATTCGAAAATAGATCGTCACCCGAATCAGAATCGTCAAAAAGTGACACTACTTTGGACTTGGACTTGATATCATTTTTAGGCAACGGTGGTGGGCTAAATACGTCATCATCAAATATATTTACTTCTTTACTACTAGCATTGCTTTTACTGGTACTACTAGAGTTGGTGGTCAAGTGCTCCTGCACAGCTCCTCCTGACGCTGGAGCGCTTACATCACGTCCAGAATTAACTTCTTCACCTTGCTGACGTGATCGTTGATTTAAAAGGCTGTCGCTTGTTAATCTTTCTCGGGATAATTCTTCAGAAATCAAACGAGTTGATTCCATCTGCGGTCGTCTGGAAATTTATTTTTTCTTTTATTTAATTGAATTCTAATTAATTTTCTCTAATTAATGTTATTTAATTTTTAATTATTTCTTCTGATGTATATTTCCGATAAGTGTATGTTGATTGATTAAAAAATAAATTAATTAATTAATTAAAAAAAATTTTTTAAGCTTAAAATATTTTTTTTTTTTTATTTAAGGAGACCCTGGTCTAGCGGCCTAAAATTTAAGCTATTTTAAAAAATTTTGTTTCTATATGAAGGTAATGACTAATGCTTTCAAATTTTTTTTACACTTATTCTATTACTTATTAACTACACAAAAATGAACATCAAAATAAAAAATAATTTTTTTTTAAATTAGAAAAATGGCGCTGAAGTTGAAAAAAAATGACGGATTTTTAAGTAGTATAAGTATAGTTGGTCACGATATTATAATATGTTATGCGGGATCGAACACTGTGTTGAAATTTATTTGTGTTGCTTATGCTTGTATTATATATTTATGACTCACTTGCTTGCTCGCTCAATCCACTCAATACTTGTTAATAACTTTCAATAATATTAAAGTATCTTTAACTCGCGGAATTTTACTCTACGATTTAATTAATTCCAAAGTTTTTTTATTTTTTATTAAAAAAATTGAAAATTTATACAACATTTTTAAAGAGATCCGGTGGTCTAAGCTAAAATTTAAGCTATTTTAAAAATTTTATTTCTATATGAAGGTAATGACTAATGCTTTCAAATTTTTTTTACACTTATTCTATTACTTATTAACTACACAAAAATGAACATCAAAATAAAAAATAATTTTTTTTTAAATTAGAAAAATGGCGCTGAAGTTGAAAAAAATGACGGATTTTTAAGTAGTATAAGTATAGTTATCGTCGGATCTAGAATGAAAAAAAAAAAAATATTTGACAATTGTACTAATTAAAAATCCGTCATTTTTTTTTCATTTCAGATTAGAGGGAGAGATCAATCGTCATACACCAGTCAAGTCCATTTTTTTTGGGAAACTTCAGCGCTATTTTTCTAATTTAAAAAAAAAATTTTTTTTGTTTTGATTTTCATTTTTGTGTAGTTGATAAATAATAGAATAAGTGTACAAAAATTTGAAAGCATTAGTCATTACCTTCATATAGAAATAAAATTTTTAAAATAGCTTAAATTTTAGCTTAGACCACCGGATCTCTTTAAAAATGTTGTATAAATTTTCAATTTTTTTAATAAAAAATAAAAAAACTTTGGAATTAATTAAATCGTAGAGTAAAATTCCGCGAGTTAAAGATACTTTAATATTATTGAAAGTTATTAACAAGTATTGAGTGGATTGAGCGAGCAAGCAAGTGAGTCATAAATATATAATACAAGCATAAGCAACACAAATAAATTTCAACACAGTGTTCGATCCCGCATAACATATTATAATATCGTGACCGTCATAGTAATGTATTGTTGATTGTTAATAGTTAATAAGATTGTCTTTACAGTACTCATTATAACGGATCAGAGAACTGTATAGTATTAGAAAAAAAAAAAAATAAATTCTTAAGAAAAAAAAAATTAATGGTTGAATAATGACAATAAAAATGTATATTATTTTGTTAATAGTAATTACTCAGTGCGTCTTTAAAAGCTAATTGTTGAATAAATTAGCATGTAATTTAAAAAAATAATACTTATTACCAATAACAAAAATACTCACTCGAGACCGAGGCTTGTAGACAGATTGCTGCTGATACTCAGTGGTGGTACTGAAATTCCACTGCTGTCACTACTTTCTCTACTGACATGAATCCGATTTCCGGCGATAGTCGAGCTCGCGTTAGACCGGGATGTAGTTTTATCATTTTCTCGCGACTGAGTAGCATTACTTTTGCTACTTACACTACTACTGCGACTAACATTATCAACAGTAACCACTGATGCATTCCTATCTCCTTCTCCTTTAAATCCGACACTCTCTTCAGTTTCAGATGACTCCGAGGAATCTTGACGCGCACGCTGGAATATTTTGCTGCCTAAGCTCGAAGATAAAAGGTCTGCCTGACTTATCAACACACCGGGTACTCGCTATAAAATAAATCAGATAAATAAATAAAGAGACAAACAGATAAAATGAATATATAAGTAAATAAAAATAATTATGCCGCGAGGTGAACTTCGTACCGCCTCTGGTGACCTGACTGGCGCTGAATTTTTAACAGAATCAAACAAACTATCATCCTCATCGTCATCGAACAGATTAGGGACACTGGTATTAATATCCGGCGTACTTGTCGCCACTTTTTCAGTACCCGTTTGATCAATAATAGGAAATCTATTCGACTCATTCTTTGGTTTATCACTCATGCCAGTTTTATCAACTACAACAGTACTCGAGTTACGAGGCGCGAATATATCGTCACAGTCGTCAGAATCCACGTCACCAAACAGATCGTCGATTGAAGATTTAGGTTTAGCTTCTGCAAGTAGATTATTTGCATCAGTTTATTAGGTCGTTTTTTTTACAAAAAAAAATTTGTACCTACCAACAGAATGGATCGGTGGCGGTAAATCAATACTAGCGGGTATGATATTAGATTGCGGGCGTCTCAATGGCTTATTGTTCCATAAACTATTTGGCACGTCCTCATCAAACAGTCCTCCATCACTAAACATTTTGTCCTTTTTAACATTGAATATATCTTCATTCTTCTCCTCGTTATCAAACAGATCATCTGAAAATTACAGATCAATATTTTATCAATAAAAAAATTTTTCTAAATTAAAATAAAACTAGCACTAGTCACTATGTGACTGCCTTGACTTGTGAACGATAAATAAGTAAAATTAAATGATGACTTTTGTTAAATTCCACTGTACTTTCTTAAATATTGACGGTTTTAAAGATATAAGCTCATCCCGATGTTACACTCATCAAGACCTTTCATTTGAGTGCCCACATCAATTTCTCATATATTTTATATATTTATATATATTACATATAGGTATATATGAAAAATATATCAAAAATGCATGTGAGTACTCAAATGAAAGGTCTTGATGAGTATAATGTCGGGATGAGCTTATATCTTTAAAAATGTCAATAGTTCACAAGATTCAATATCATTTTTTAACTATTGACTTTTTTAAAGATATAAGCTCATTCCGATGTTACACTTATCAAGAGCTTTCATTTGAGTACCCACATGCATTTTTTATATATTTTTCATATATACATATATATAATATATATAAATATATAATATATGAAAAATTGATGTGGGTATTCAAATTAGAAGTCTTGATGAGTATAATGTCGGGATGAGCTTATATCTTTAAAAATGTCAATAGTTCACAAGATTCAATATCATTTTTTAACTATTGACTTTTTTAAAGATATAAGCTCATTCCGATGTTACACTTATCAAGAGCTTTCATTTGAGTACCCACATGCATTTTTGATATATTTTTCATATATACATATATGTAATATATATAAATATATAAAATATATGAAAAATTGATGTGGGTACTTGAATGAAAGGTCTTGATGAGTGTAACATCAGGATGAGCTTATATCTTTAAAAATGTCAATAGTTCACAAGATACGAGGTCATTTCTTAATTATGTATCTAGAGACATTTTCGAATGCAGCTTAACTACTTATCATAATAAATTGACTATCCCGAAGACAAAATTTTTCTTATTCTCTTAATAATATAGACTATAAATACCATTGGAACGATTGATAGACGAGCTATCAACATCAGCTTTGGAGCTATCAACCTTAGCACCAGGCAAAACACTTCCCAGCCTCTTGGCAAGTTCCTCAGCGAAACCAGGAGCGTCTCTCCCCGTCTTTCCTTTAACTTCAACAGGCGTGTCAATTTCCGAGGTTGAGTTAAGCGTATCCTGACTCCTGGTGTACAATTTATCAGTCGTCGAACTAGGACCACTGGCTAGCTTGTTAGTATTATTACTTTTATCATTAAAGTCACTAGACTCGCTGGACGACAATGAGGATCTTTTGACCAGCAAATTATTTCTTTGAGTAGAATTAAAGATATGTGTTATTTTGTCACCCTCAGTGCTCTCATCATCATCATCATCATCTTCCTCATTATCCAGAGCCTCTGACTCGCTGCTGCTCGACTCGATTCCTATTTTATTCGAAGCCTGCCATTTGTCCGAACCAATCACATACGGCAATGGACGGTCTTTGTAAGGATCCTTTGGCCTCAGGATAAAGCTCGGCACTGATACCATCGACTGGCTGGGATTTTCATCATCGCTGTCGTCACTAGCGATCACTTCCAGCCGGTCATATTTTTCGTCCATTATTTGGAGCCCTCGCTGGATGTTTTCGGTGACTATTGCAATCATCTCAGCTTCGCTTAATTCTTTCTGGACATCAACAGTCTCGGTTTTTTTCTTTTGATGCTTTTCGCTGCTCGGGTCATCTTCGTAGACTCGGCTTTCAATAAACTGAGTATTAGCGAGGGCTAATGACGCGTTTGTGACATTATCAATCAGCACAGTTGTCTCATTTAAATCACTAGTAAGCGAGTCGAGGTTTTCTTGCGTAGATTTAACCCTAGATGTCAATGTCTGTTGATAAATTATTAATTAATAATAATAAACTGACCTACATTCTTTAACAATAAAAATTTATATTTGATAAAAATTAAATAATTAATTTAGCCGACATCTAAAAATTTTTAGAATTTTTTTTTATTGAAAAAATGATTAGAAAAAAAATTTCACTTGTAAAAAACTTTAAAAATTGACAGTGCAGTTTTTGAAAAATATTCTTTTGTTCTAATTTAATTATTAAAAAAAAAATCAAAAAATTAAAAACGTCGGCTAACTTTAGTATTATATGAAAATAAAATTAGCAGACAGCTGACAATTTTTAGAACTTTTTTTATTAATACAATAATTGTAAAAAAATTAAAAGTAAAAATTGCACATGTAAAAAATTTGAAAAACTATATGTGCAATTTTTTAACAATATTTTTTATTGCTAATTCAATTAATAAAAATTTTTTGCTGTCAGCTAATTTTAGTTTCATTAGTATTATAAATTAATTTAGCAGATATTTGATAATTTTTTCAACAAATAAATTGGAGCAAAAAAAAATTGACATGTAGAAATTTAAAAAAATGAAAATTGCAATTTTTTGGATGAAATTTGTTTGTTAAAAAATGATCAAATGTCTGCTGAATTTAATTTCATAAATAATTGATCTGTATACTTCGGAAAATTTTTCAAGGTGTCTTAATAAACCGACATCTCCAGCCAAACTCCACTCATGTTGCTTTAATCTAATCTCATCGGTACTCCAGGGGTGGTCCCATGATTTTTCACCTTCTTCTGATGTCGATAAATTCTAAATATTTGTAAAATATTATTTTAATACGTGATCACTTGCGATAATATGATTAAATTAAATTAAATTAAAGTAAATAAGTTGAAAGTTGTTTTTGAGTTAACTTGACATTGAATTATGAATAAATAAATAAATTTAAATAAAAATTACCATTTTTTATCCAGTTCACTACCATCACAGTGAAATCATATAATTTTTTAATCCTTTTATCATGATATTTTTTTGCTTTTGATAATGAATAATAAGTGATACGCCTATCGTTACTCTGGTGAATGACAAGATCCAAACACTAAATTACTGGATTCAGGTGGCAGTACTTTCGTGGAAGTGGTCGATGTTTTTGAATTGGACTTTAGGCGCTGTACAAATTATCTATTATCAAGCGCGGTCAGCTGTTATTTGCGCTTTAAGGTTATAAACGTTTTATTTACGTTCTAAGTGTTGACAATTATTTTTATCAGTTTTTTTTGGAGAAAAAAGTGAAATAAATTATAATTAAAATGCCGAAAGTTGTGTCAAGAAGTATTATATGTTCGGATACTAAAGATCAAGAAGAATATGGTGAAGAAAAACCATTATTGACTTATTATTGTTTGTGTGGACAAATGACACTAATTTTAGGTAAGTTTTTTTTTTTTTTTTTTTTTTTTATGATTTTAATTTATAACATTAAAGTTAACAGTCATTAAATTATTTTTTTATTTTTTTTTTAACAAACAAATTTGTTAAAAAAAATTATTTCTAAAGAATTGCATTTTTATTTTTTTTTAAATTTCTACATGTCAATTTTTTTAAAAATTTTTTTGTTATAATTTATTTGTTAAAATTATCAAACACTTGCTAAATTAATTTGCATAAAAAAATTGTGTTATTTTTGATAATTATATATTATTAGTATTATTATTAATTTTATGTTAAATAATTGAAATTATTTTTTAGATTGCTCGATAGAAAAATTACCTCTGCGAAAACGTGATGGAGCTCGTGTAATTGATGGAAGTAAACACGCTCACAAAATGATCTGCGAAACGGATGAAATTGTTTTCTTAAAACGCGCTGAAGGTATTGAAAAACAGCACAGACAAAAATGCAAAAAGTAAGTTAATTATTTGTGATATTAAAGTTAGCTGTCACTTGACCATTTTTTAATTTTATTTAACAAAAAAATTTGTTCTGAAAAATTACTTTTAAAAAATTGCATTTTAATTTATTAAATTTTCTAAATGTCAATTTTTTTTTTAATTTTTTTATGCAGTAATTTATTTATTAGAAAAATTATTAAATATATGCTGAATTAATTTTCATTAATTATTTAAATATTTATTTAAAACTGTCAGCAATTAGAAACAGAAATATACTTACTTTTTTTCAATAAACTTCTTTTTGTTGCAAATATTCATAATAAGAGATGATTAATTAATTAATCATACTAAAGTTCACTAATCACTGTCAATTTTTTAAATTCTTATAACAAATCAATAACAATAAAAAAAATCCTTATAAAAATTTCTACTAATGATTTTTTTTAATTTTCACATTTGGAATTTTTTTATCAAATTTTTTTTATTGCTACAAAATTATTAAAAAAATTCTAATGTCTGTCAACTTCATGATTAATTAACTGATTATTTTTTTACAGATGTGGACTTTTATTGTACTACAAACACGATCCCAATGCAAATGTAGTATTCGTAGTAAAAGGTTCTGTAGTAAAGAGTTCAGGTGAACGACCATTGACAGACTTTTACAATCAAGTTGAAGTAGAAAAGCCCAAGAAAATAATGGTAACTAAACACACTAAAAATATGGGTAAATTCAGCTCAGTAACTGTTTCGACTATCGACGAAGAAGAAGATGAAATTGAAGCTGTAAGTATTTTATATTTAGTACAAAAAATAGTTATTACTCTCACTTGAAACTCTGGCGTGATATGTCTCACGAATTAACGGCAAGTGAACATGTAAAAATAGTTAATTATCATTTAAAAGTACTAATTGGATTTTTAAAAATTTTTAGCGTGAAGTTGCAGACTCTTATGCGAACAATGCGCGTATAATTGAAAAGCAATTAGAAAGGAAAGGAATGACCAAGAGAAAAACTGCTCCAATGCCTGATGCTGATCCTACTAAAAGATCTAGACCACGAGGAACCTTATTAGATGTTTAATATTTAATGTAAGAAAAAGAAAATTAAACTTCAAATTTATACTTGTAATTAATTCTAATTTTTATTATCTCTTAGAAAATAAAATTGTAAATAAAATAAACAAATTTATTTTTTAATTCATACTTTATTTGAATATTGTATTTAAATACCTTTATTAACGTTACATTAACATAAATATTTAAAATATATAAATGACTAGATACAAATATTGCATAAAAATGTACATTGCAAAAAATATATAAATTCATTAATCAGTAATTAAATAAATATAAGAACTACATACATATTTAATGGGATACATTAATGACAAATCATTCACTCTTTTATATTTAATTATTTTAATATTTTTTAACTAATTTAAATTTAAATTATCAACTGTTTGCTAAATATTTATTGGAAAACTGCCAATCCTAAGAAACATGCCCGCATGATGTATTATTATTATCATTATCATTATTTATATTTTTTTTTAAATACTGCGATTGGCAAAGTATAAATATACATTAAACCAACGTCTTTTATTGTTCGAACCCTAAAAAAATACAAAAAAATAAATACAAAATAAAGGATTGAGTTAACAAAAAATATATCAATATATAGGTATCTTAATTATATGAGAATGAAATTTAATGGCAACAATTGTGAAAAAAAAATATTTTTAAAGAACACCACTGTGATGATCGAAAAAAAAGGTGATTTTTGGAAATTTTTTTAATAGGGAAAATAAAGGAATTTGAGGATTGGAATTTTTTTATTTTATTAAGGGTACATTAAAGATTGTTACCCTAAATTTTTATTGAAAAATATTTAATTTTTATAAAGTTATTAACGGAATTTAAAAAATTTTGTTTTTAAAGATTTTTTTAGCCGAGTTAAAACAAATTGTTAATAACTTTGTAATAATTAAGTATTTTTTAATAAAAATTTAGGGTAATAATTTTTAATGTACCTTTAATGAAATAAAAAAAATCCAATCACCAAATTCCTTCATTTTCCCTGTCAAAAAAATTCCCGAAAATTATCTTTTTTTTGACCGTCACAGTGTTCCCCCTTAACCGAGTGAGAATGTTAATATTTTATGATATGGCTCTTTTTGTTCACATTAACAAGTGGTGAGAATTTACTTATCAACTATTATCAACAAACTGGCCATTATTTATAATAATAATTAATAATCAATAATGATAATAATTATAATAATAATAATAATAATAATATTAAATATATATTCCTAATATGTAGATATAGTCAATATAATCTATATAATAATTTCCGAGAAAAATTTCAATTAGATTAATCGTATATATAATTAAATTTATCAATCCAAAAAAATATAAACAATTTCTTTTATACTCAGTAGTGAATTTTTCTCTAGATTTATTCTCAAAACTTTCATATCCCAAATAAATAATTTGAAATAAAAAAAAGCGTGAAAGTTCAAGAATAAATATAACTACAGAGCACGAGTATATTATTATAATTATTCAAACTAATAAATTTAAAAAACCGGATGACTAATTTTAAATTTAATTAATTAGATTATTTGTTCTTGCAAAATTCTACGCAGCTTAAGTGAATAATTATAATTATAATTTATAAACAAATTCATAGCACACTTTTTTCATAACACAATACAATACATACAATAAATGCTTCTATTCATATTCTTCTTATAAGTTTAAATAGACTGCAAATCACTTTTATCCGTACCCAGTACTCAATATACGATTTACCAGATCAATTATACTTTGTTTAAATATTATTTATTCCTCTGATGGAATTAATATCACTTTACACGAATAATATCGCGATTTATATATTTTATTTTAATTAATAATTAATAATTAAATTTAAATGAATAAAATCTTAGTATAGTCATGCAAATCTCACTGAATTTTTTTTCTACGCCTTTAAGATGTTAAGCAATTAGTGGAAAAAGATAAATAAATTTCATTAATTAAGATTATGATTAAGATGTTACTTGTGTTGTTTTCATGTCTGACTTTTTGAGTATTGTAGGTTCGTCTTTTAAAAATGTACCGGATCTAGATCCAACAGTGAGTTGTTTTAAAGCATCAACATTATGGCACTTTAATTTATTTTTTTCCTCAGTGCCTTTGACAACTGTTTTAGTTGTTTTAGCAGCCTGTGAATTACGATTGACTCTATTACCAATACCACCACCACCACCACCACCACCACTACTATTTGATTTAGGAGATCTTTTGCTGGGACTGTCGCTGCTGGAAGGATTCGAGTCTTTTTTCTCCCGCTTAGAAGCTGGAGGAGTGCTCGTGGAAGGCAGACTCTGCCGAGTATTAACTTTCGACGCAGTTCCATTAACTAACTTACTGGGAACCAAGACTTCAGGAGTCTTAGCGGCATCCAGGAGGTTTCTGCGTAAGTTAGGAGATCCGTGGTAAGCATTGATAGCAGCAACGCGATTCCGGCTGGCGGCTGTTGAGCTTTCAACGGATCTGACGGGTCTTCTGGTGACTCCGAGCGGGCTTTTATGTTGAACGGGTGGTGATGATTTTTTAGCACGTTCCATAGCCAGGCTTTTAGCAGTGGGTCTTCCGAGAGTAGGAGAAACTTTGTTGGACACTACAGATTTCGGAGTTGCGGTAACTTCGGTCATCAAACTGTCAGCAGACATCGAAGTGTCCATTTTTTCGATTTTCTTGACAGTCAGTGGCTTCTTTTTAGAGTCTGCTAACGAATCAGCGGAAAGCCCGATCTCAGCGTCTTTAGGTTCAAGCGACGGAGATTCGGGTCTGGTAATCCCACAACTTTTACTGGTGTTGTCACGCTTAGCTGACGGCTTAGCGCTTGTGTCTGTCAAACTGTCGGATGAAACTGCTCTCATGTCTTTTTTAACAGCTGCTTTTAATTTGGTGATTGGTTTTTTCTCTACAGCGCGTTTCATCGCTGGACTTGATGTTCGTGAGGAATCTGATGATGAGATCATTATTTTACGTCTTTGCTGAACAGTTACACGTTCTGGTAACTGCTGAGCAGTGTCTTTTGAAACAGACTTATTTCTTGGTTCCAAGTACCTCGATTTCACCTAAAAAAATTTTTTAATTAATTAATATAAAACTAGCAACGTTGCAATCATTATAAATAAAATTTCGCTTTATTGAGTAGTGACTTTTATTAAATTGCACTGTACTTTTTTAACTATTGACGTTTTTAAAGATATAAGCTCATCCCGATGTTACACTCATCAAGAGCTTTCATTTGAGTGCCCACATGGCATTTTTGATATATTTTTCATATATACATATATGTAATATATATAAATATATAAAATATATGAAAAATTGATGTGGGTACTTAAATGAAAGGTCTCAATGAGTGTAATGTGAGGGTGAGCTTATATCTTTTAAAATGTCATTAGATGACAAGATTCAATGTCATTTCTTAACTATTGACATTTTTAAAGATATAACCTCATCCCGACATTATACTCATCAAGAGCTTTCATTTGAGTACCCACATGCATTTTGATATATTTTTCATATATACACATATATAATATATATAAATATATAAAATATATAAAAAATTGATGTGGGTACTTGAATGAAAGGTCTCGATGAGTGTAACATCGGGAGGAGCTTGTATCTTAAAAAATGTCAATAGTTCACGAGATACAGGGTCATTTCTTAATTATTGTCACAAAATTTTGCTTATTCTCTCAATAATATAGATTAATATATAGTATTATTAATATAATTATATAATACAAATAATATAACTACCTCTAATTTATTCGGCCAAGATTTAGGTCGAATGGTAGATTCAGCAGCCAGCAATTTGCTGTCCTGCATTTTACGTTCCAAAGGATCGCTCTTAGGCTTCGGCAATATCTTTCTCGTTTGTGCAATAACTGTCGGCTTGGCCGCTGCTTTATTAGCCTCAGTCATCGTCATTTTAACTCGCCTCAGGTCCAAACTTCTGCTAGCAGATGTTCTGCTCGGTGGAGTCTTAGAATCCTAGAAAAAAAAAAAAAAATCATCAAACTCAATAAAACAAAAACAAAAAAAAAATACCAACCTTAAGAAAATTAGAGTGTCTGGAAGGTCGCTTGAGTGATTCATGCGGCAAAATAACAAGACAAGCAAGCTCCTGGATTCTGCGTCTCAATTCAAGGTCCATTTTCATCCAAGTAGTAGTTCTGGATGCTCTTGAAGCTTCCTTGACCAGACATTTTTCCACTCTTCCTTGAATTTTCCCCAAAAAGTCAACAAACAACGCTCCCCAGGGTGGCTTAGTAATCGCCTCATCAGTCTTGACAGCCGCCATCATTTTCGCGAGCTTAGCATAACTCTTACAAGCTTGATCCGGAGGTAGTCTATCAGCAGCAGCAAGAACACTGTCTTCCAACCGACTGATATTCCAAGTAAGATCCCGCCCGAGTGCCTGGAAGCTCTCATTGCTCAGCACACTTGTAAAATTTTCCGACAAAAATTTAAGCGCCGTCTCCAAAAGATTAGAAACCATCCTAAAGACTGGTTCCGCCCACCTGACATTCGGCAAAGTCGCCAGTAGCTTATCGCAGTCCATAATAGTCTGCAAAATATTATCAGCCGACATATGAACAATGTGCTGATGATAACACTTATCAATAAGCTCTCTAGGCAAAGCCGCGAAGGCTTTGCAAGGCCAGATACGAACAAAGTGCCTAGTGATCCACCTAAGAGACTTCCTATACACTTCATCCAGCCCGTAGGCTGCCGCAAGGGGCAGACATTCCAAAACTCCCACGGCGCAAATTTGACAAGGCTTGTGGAACAAATGACAGTACTTAACTTTGATAGTATAACCAATAACTTCCTTAAGACCTTCCAAACAAAGCATATCCGCAAGCGTGGCAAGCTCTACAATACTTATCGAGTCCGGTATGTTGCTCTCCCCACTATAAATATGACACAAGGCAAAGTGAACGGAGCTGTAAGAGTACCCTTGCAGTGATATAACATTGCCCGCGCTTTCAATCCAACCACCGCTGAGAATAGCAGCAAAGTACTGGCACCTAGAACTTAAAATACACTTGTGCGCTCTTATCCGTCTCCCGCTGACGTCTATTGTCACATCTGGATTTATTTCTTCCAAGAACATCCTCAGAAGATCTTCCCCGAGTCTATTATAGGGTTTAGTATTCGCAAAACTAGAAGTTTCCGTCTCCTCAGTGCTAACGTCTGCTCCAGAACGACCCATGCTGCTTTGCATGCTGCTTAAATCCGACTCTGAAACAATTCCCTCGACCTCATACTCATTAGCAAACTCCTCTATTGGTGATTTGTGCTTAGCAGGCAGCGAGGTGCTCATTATTGACGTGAATTTCCTCGAAGACAAAGTACGGACTTGGCAAGGCCCGTTGGTCCGGTTAACAGCCAGCTTGCTCTCCACCCAAGACATCTCTGGAATGCTGCTGCACATTCTGTAAGGCATATTTATATTGCGCGCTTCAACATCAGAAGCTTCAGATTTAGGAGGAACTTTGTCTAAATCTGACAAACGAACAAAACCCGATCCAGTATCAGATTTTTTAACCGGCTCGCAGTACTCCGGTTTGTTAAACTCGCACTCGATCTTCTTAATAGTTTCCGTCAAAGACTTGTGAGTCTCCGCTATTTTACTCGGCACTTCAACACTCCTCCTGTCATTCAAAGCAGATCCAGTTCTAAACTCTCCCAATTCAAACTCTTGATTCTCACTCCCGCGAGAGGGTCCACTGGCGCTGCCACTGCTGATGTCAAAGGTCTCGCTCTTCCTGGTGTGTCCTTCAGTCCCAGTGGTGCTCTCAGTCCCGGTTTTGTCCCACACAGACTGGGACTGGGACTGAGACACCTCCGACTGGTCGTCGTCAAAAATCTTGGGGTCCACCGAAGCACCCGCGCTTGAACACATGCTGCTGCGCATCAGGTCCTTGTACTCTTGCCGCCTCACGCATCCTCTTAACGAATCATTGATGATCTCCACGTGAGAATTGGGCGGAGTGTCGCGGATCCCGTTGTCATATCCCTCAAAGGAAGTCGTGACACTGACACTAGCTTTGTCAAGGGACGTAGGCTTAGCTGGAAGCGAGGAGCCACGTTCCAATTGATTAAGCGAGACACTGGAGCCACTCGGGTTAGCTAGCAACAATTTATCGACGCCCGGCAGCGGTTCGATAGAAACGCTGTGTGCCCGTTTGTGCTGCCGGTAAAAACTTGTAGCTTCGTCTGTAGTTCCTTTGGCGACAATACCGTTGCCCGGACTCTGTGATTTATCAGCGACATTCCACGAGTGCCTTTGCAAGGCAGACCTTGATGTTGATAGTGTACGTCGCCGCACAACTGGAGAATCAGACTCGATAAACATAAATACACTTTGTTTTTTATCTTTAGATCGTGAAGATTCACTCGGGGACTCGTTGCTTGAGCTCTTGGCGCTGTCAGTCATGCGATTTAGCAATTTATATGATTTTTTATCTTTACTAGTAACTGAATCTTCATTTTTTTTAGAACCCGAATTTGAACTTGAATTAGGCTCGCTCAAGTCAATAAACATTGAAAATATATTTTTTTTCTCAACATTATCAACAACAGCTTTGCTTTTAGGAGATAAATCTTTTTTGCTATTCTTGGGTGTTTTATCAGACTCGTTCGACAAGTCGATAAAAAATTCACAAGATTTAGTTGTACTTGCACCAGTGTCTTTAGATGTCTCAGGAAGGGTTATATCAACGCCTGGTTTATCTTTTCCACAATTAATGTCTTTTAGATTAACAAAAAAACTCTGTTTATCTTTACTTCTCGTAAAACTTTTAGGACTTTCCGAGTATGAGTAACTTTGAGACATGCTGCTTGGTGATGACCCATTCGTAGACTTTGTACCATCATTATTATTATTATTATTACTATTAGAATTATTATTACCATTAGGACTATTATTATTAACATTATTCCTCCCGCAGTTACTCATGTCAACAACCCATGAAGTCTTGGTCATCGACGAAGACATGCGACTCGTCCGTACTCGCTCATTAGGAAAATTAGAAAGAACAGACCCGCCAGAAACAATCGGCGTGGATTCTGTCTTCCTCCTCACCGACGGACTGTCAGTGGGTCTGGAATAATCAGCGCTACTGACCCCACCCGAGACAATGGGGGTCATTTCATCGCGCTTAGTCCTCCTCATGGTATTAGATTGACTACTCAACGCGAAATGATCAAAAGTACTCGGCAAGCTATTGCAATCGTTTATCGAACTATCGTCCGTCTCAGAACCAGCGCTTATCAATTTATCACTCGCACTCTTAGCCAGTGGATGGAGTCCATTGCTTGTTCCATCAAACTGACAATCTACGCAGTCGTTATTATTATTATTAACACTGTTAAAAGCCCTCGAATTTTCTGCAAATGAGTAATTATTATTCTGGCGAGTCTTTGCCGCATTATCAATGTTCTTTTCACGAGCCGGTTCGGAAAAGTACGAAGACAAAGATGAGTAAGGCGTTCCATTTAGCGAAGCTAGATCGATCCGAGTAGAAGATCCCATTATATCCTTCACTATCGAGCCTTTAACCCCAGCGCAGTCTTTTAGCTAGGTAATAGGATCAGGTAGACGACCCGAAGGAAGATACCCGAGTTAAATACTGGGTCTTAAAACTTAAGTTCGATCGGATCGCGATTCAATATTCAAAACAAACAAAAGCCTTTTATTTAGTAATAGCACACCAAGCCTGTACTAAACAAAGTTTAAATAAAAATCTCTGAAGCTTAAACGGTAACCGATTGACTGACGTCTAAAATTCCGACAAGCTGTCAATGAGTTTTAAGATTGACATACTTGTGCCTGGCTGTCTAAATTTATTTAAAGACCAGTAGTGGTACGGCAATACCGCTCGGTCTGATTGTAAGCAGAGGGATCGATACCGGCGACATTGACGACCTTATGTCCGATACCCTCAGACGGACCTGCGAATACCGATCTGGAGATCCAGTCTCGGAGGTATTTATATTGACGAGCCAATAATTGGGTGTGAAAAGACTTTGAGACAACGAACTTAGCTCTACTCCGTTTTCTTGGGCGATCGTATCGCGGCGGGACCTCGTGACTCGTTTTATCCTCGGGGTTCTCCACGATCGTGAGATCGATCGAATTTAGTTTTACCAGCAACAGCTAAATTTATTTTTATTGCATCAAAATACTCTCCCGGTGGATTAATGATTATTTTTAATGTTGGAATTATTACTACTCATTAGTCCCTAGTCATTATTCATTACTTACTTCTATTACTATATGTCTAATTAGATTACATCACAAGCCTGAAGTATAATTGTGATACAGAGAAAAATTACGAAATTTATTTATACTTTTATAAAATACTTACTCTAATGCTCAATAAATTCGAATAATTATTGTTATTATTACTGGGTAAAATTTGTACTTTCTCTTATAATTTATTAAGTAAATAACAATTATTTCTTTTAAAAATCATTTTCCAATCATAAGTTAATAGACTAGTTATTTAAATAGTTTTTTTTTTTTATTGAAACTCGAGTATTTTATTAACCTACGTTACTGGTTTTTCGCAATTCAAATTATTTCATTTTTTCTGATGTAATAATTTAAGTTCTTAATCGAATTAATTCCCGAAAATGACTAATCTAAATTATTAAGAGAATAAGCAAAGTTTTGTGGCCAGTGTATATATTTATATGATAAACTGGGTTTTTATGATTGAATTTAGTATCGCTGAATTTTATATCATTCTCACCAATAGTCAATTTATGATAATAAGTACTTAGACTGCATTCGAAAATACTCTATCTCTAGATGCATAATTGAGAAATGACTTTGTATCTTGTGAACTATTGACATTTTTAAAGATATAAGCTCATCCTGATGTTACACTCATCAAGACCTTTCATTTGAGTACCCACATCAATTTTTCATATATTTATATATTATATATATATATGTATATATGAAAAATATATCAAAATGCATGTGGATACTTAAATGAAAGCTCTTGATGTGTGTAACATCAGGATGAGCTTATATCTTTAAAAATATCAATAATAAAGAATTACCTTGCATCTTGTGAACTATTGACATTTTTAAAGATATAAGCTCACCCTCACATTACACTCATTGAGACCTTTCATTTAAGTACCTACATCAATTTTTCATATATTTTATATATTTATATATATTACATATATGTATATATGAAAAATATATCAAAAATGCATGTGGGTACTCAAATGAAAGCTCTTGATGAGTATATCATCGGGATGAGCTTATATCTTTATTAAAAACGTCAATATTAAAGAAAGTACAGTGCAATTTAACAAAAGTCATTATTTAATAAATCAAAATTTTATTTATAGTTCACAAGTCACGGCAGTCACATAGTGACTGCAAGGTTGCTAGTGTTTAATAATTTAATTAAAAAATTTGATTAACCCGCTCCAAAATGTTTTTTAAATAAAAAAAATTTTTTTATTAATTGTTACAGGAGAAAAACCATATCAGTGTACGTGGGAAGGATGTACGTGGAAATTCGCCCGCTCGGACGAGCTGACGCGGCACTATCGCAAGCACACCGGTCAAAAACCATTCAAGTGCCATCTTTGTCAGCGGTCGTTTTCGCGAAGCGATCACTTGTCACTGCACATGAAGAGGCACTGACAGATATAAGCGCCAACATTCAATCTAATCCGGATTTTATTCGTAATATAAATAAACGAATAAAACTGAAATCCTAGATAATGATAAAGATAATGATGAAGATAGATAAGAAAGACCAATACAAGTTGACGATTTAACTACATACATTCGGGACCTGAACAACCCTTTCCCTCGAGGTGCGCGATTTTCGCGTGGGACTGCGGGCCAACGTAACGTTTTTTCACTAGATATTAATCTATTTAACAAAGTATAATAAATAACTAAAGCTAAATGTTTGCTGACAACGTCCTGATATTTTAAGTTCAAGGACGTGCAATTAGTTTCAATTCTAATATATCTTATAATAATTATTATGATTATTTTGATTATTATTGCTAATAATAATTTGATTATTTTATTAATGAATTTTTAAGGCCAGCTCAACTAGTCTAGAGCAATTGTTGATTTACTATTTTATCAGTAATAAAAGGAGCCAGTAAAAGTATCATAATTAAATTTATAAGTTTATATTCATTATAAGATTAGAGTAGATAATTGTCGAAGTAATTAATCAATTAAATAATTAGAGAGTTTATTAAAGAGAAAATGACAACTCCTTTGATGGAGCTTGGGACTTAGCATGCTCAGTTAAATAAATACAATCGTGATTGTGAATAATTAATTTAAAAATGTTAATGAAAATAAACAAAAAAATAATTATTTAACTATCAGCAATTAACGATTTTAAAATAATATACAAAAGAATTACGCGTTTTATATAAAACGGACAATCATACGTTATTTATTCAGGAAAAAATTTTTTATATAAAAAATATTAATTTTTTTAGCAAATTAAAAAAATAACTAAGTTAAATTTTGAAATAAAAACAATTAAATTTTTCATCAAATTTTAATTAAAAAAAAAAATTTTTTTCCTGGATATATTTATCGTTTTAATAGCCAAGTATTAATTGCGGTCTATTATTTAGGGAATAAATAGTAATAATTATACTAGATAGTTGAAATTAAATAAAAAGCAATATTTAATAAAAATAATATATATTATAAATTAATAATAAAATAAAGTGAATAATTTGTACCTATTTGTCGTAAATTTGTGTGAAAGGTGCCAAAGTAAATGTGCTGGCAGTTAAGGCTGTACAATAATATATTTTTAAAAATGAATTAAATTAATTAAGTATATAAAATGCTTTCTGGTGTCGCAGTTAAATAATAACCGTCCTACTAGATCGCGAAACAAAATTTCATCACTGCCGTAGGTATTAATTGTAATTTTAAAAAAAATTGATAAAGCACTTTTTGTTTAAATAAAGTAAAAGTTTTTTACTTTTATTGAAATATATTTCAATAGCGATAAATTATAAATTTGTGGTAATTAACTATTAAAGAGACGCATTGTTGGTTTTATTGTTCAGTACAATGTAATTGTAATGGTTTTAGGGATTTATAGAAGTTTGCCGACGAAACTTTCGCCGTGGTATAGGCAATCAAGTTAAGTTATACAACAGAACTATGATATTTAATTATTATTGTAGAATAAGTTAACGAGGAATTTATATTTATCTTGTGGAGAAACAAATGAGATGCACAACGAGATGCCAGTATAAGCTAGAGCCAGTTTAACCTAACTATTTAACGAACATTATTATTATTATTTATAAATAAATGAATTATTACGCCGTTACTTGATTAGATAATAGTGCCTTTGATCGTTTACAAAACGACTATGTTATCATCATTATTATTATTATTAATTATTATTATTATTATTATTGTAGACTATTATTATCATTAATTAACAAAGTAATCATCTTATTATTTTGCCTATAGTGCCTTAAATAATTATCATTTATGCTTAACTACTTATATCTGATTTATTATTTTAATGCTATCGCATTATTGTGAAATATTCTGAATTTATTTTTATAATATTAATCTTTATTTTGCTACACGTAATTTTTCGATGATTAAGAAATTTTTTTAGTGAACTTTTTTAAAATGTTTTTCATTAAAAAAATTCTTTCGCTTTTATTTTCATAATTAAAAACATTTTAAACATACCAAAAAATTATTTAAATTTTCTAACCAAATTTGAGACTAATTTTAAGTATGGCCTAAAAAAATTAATGCATAAAATTTTCAAGTTCACTAAATAAATTATTGAAAAAATTTTGCACTCGGAAAAAATTTTTCTACAGTAATTTTCAATAAGTAAAGAAAAACCCTCGATTCCGTCCATTAGCATTCCAATTAAAACGAGGGAATTTCATATTTAAATCATAAATTAATAAACGGTTAAAAATTATCATACGTTACTAGCAAAAAAAAGCTACGACTAATTTCTCATGTTCTATCGAATATTCTCAGGTGATTCATGGATGGAAGCGGTAAAAAATTTCTGAGCATCTGAATTTAAAGTGCCTTGTCTGTCGAAATAAAAAATTTGAAAATCACGAAACATAATCATTTTAACGCCGATATTTTCCGCTTTAACCTTCCACGAACCACCTTAATCTTTGTTACTGATACATAAACATTAATCAATTATCATTTATCACTATCACAGAAGGTAACGGTTTAATATTTAAAACTAAATTGGTACAAGAAATAGCCAGTATAGAAAAACAAAATGCACTTTAAGTTTTTTGTAACTTATAACAATACATTTAAATAGTAAATATCAGTGGGCATGGTTAAAAAAAATAAAGTACTACTATTATATAATTAAAAAATATAAAAACCGCAACGCTGCTAGTGTAAGTAGTCTCTAATTAGAGTTAAAACTATCAGTGTAAATAGTTTGTAAATTAAAAATATTTGTATGAACAGAAAAAGTTTTCGATAAAACTTGATATGTTCAT